CTATTCTCAGAATTCCAGAGCATGGAGCCACGCCAGTTCAAGGGGTCTCCAACCGGATTATTGCTGTAGTGTAGTCGCAGCCCTAAAAATAAAAAGAAGAGGGAAGAACTTGGCAGCTGTGGGAGGCATGTGGGCCACCCCTGATGATGCCCCCTAGCACCTCACCCCTCTCCCTCCAGTCTCTTTTTCCTTCAGCTGGCACTGCTCTGGCCAGTTAGTCACATGCATTGCTGCTTGACCCACTTGCCTGTGCAGTGTGGATGATGGGAGCGCATGTGACCATTTGGGTTTGGTAGGCATGGTGGAAGGGAGAAGAAAGTGAGAGGGTTAAAAGAGGCATTATTTGTAGCTGATATTTCCCACCCACCCCCCTTTTTTTTTCTTGCTAGATGTTGCACAGGAGGCAAAGGTCAGGAGGGAGTGTGGGTCCAGAAAGTAGGGCAGACTGGTCTGTGCACTGCACAAAATGACATAGAGAAATGAAGTCTGTTTGGTATGTGGCTTTCACCTGTTTCCACACTTGTGATGTGTGGAATAGAATACACTGAAGTAATGCAACGTTGGTGACAAGTGGGTTCCATTGTCCAAGTGTCCTCACCAAATTTGTGCACTGTTTAGTTTTGATCATTTTCTAAAAAAATGATATGGAAGTCAGGCTACTGGACTGGTACTGAGAGGTGTGATTTCCTAGAAAATATTTGAATAGGGAGAGGGTGTCGAGGGCTGATGACGCATACATTCCTGGATGGTTCCTTTTCACACTCTGAACCGTGATGCTCACCTGCGCCTTTCTTCATGAAGTGTGGGAAAAGCTGAACATTGAAGAAGACATGATAATCTTAGAAGGAGTTTCAGCTACCAGAACAGAGAGGGTGGGAAAGAAGCTTATGAGGATCTAATGCTTTCTTGTCATGCAGCGTTTTATAAAGAGCCATGAAGATGTTTGCTTGTTGCATAGTTTGCCGACAACATAAGAAGGGGACATCCTTATGTTTTGGAAAACTGCCGAGCAATTGAGAGGATCAGTTTTCCTTTCCCATGGCAGAGTGAAATCCCACAGAATATTTGTGTGTGTGTAACAGATTTCACTCTGCTGGAACCTTGGAGTTATGAAGGCTGGAGACTCGAAATGAGTAATCTATCAAATTCTCCTTCACTGTATTACTCTCCTGCTCAGTATGCAGTAACGGTTGCCACATCAGCCCTTGAGTGAATCAGGCAATGTGGGGGTGTTTTTCAGTGAGGTCAGAAAGCATCTGGGAGCAAATGAAATGGAGGAATGGTAGCTGGGTGATAGAACACATGTTTTGCATGCAGAGAGCATCTGGTGCAGTTCTTGGCATCTCCATTTCAGTGAGAGCAGGTACCAGGTGATGGAAAAGACTTCTGTATGAGATTTGGGGCAACTACTTTTTGTGTCAAGATTGTTACATAGACAAAGAGATTGATTTGGTATTAGGTAGCAGCCAGTTTTATTGAAAGGGCCATAGACTGATTGGGTGTTGGAATGGAGGCTTGTAGAATTCTGTATGGGGAAAGGGATGGATAACCTTCAGGAATAAGATGGACCCATTGGGCTACACCAGTAGCAACATCGTACAGGGCACCCTCCAAAGAAAACAAAACAAAACCAGTTGTGGTGAGAAATCTACTTCTGAGCTGGCATCCTCCTGTTGGTGGCACATGTAGGCCTAAGCTAATCTTCCACCTACCTGCATTTGTCTAATTTTGGCAGCTCTGGAGGTTGATATTTCCTTCCTTCTTTGCAGTGTCCAAAGCCTGACCCCATCACCATTTGTGCATAGCAGAGAGGGAAGGTCTGGTCCTGTGTCCAAGCCAGATGTGACATGACCACATCAGCCACTGAGACCTCTGAGTGACCTTGGCAGACTTCAGTGGCTGATACAATTGCTTTATTTATGGACACAGGGACACAGCCAGATGCTTTAATTCCTCCCTGCTTTCATCCAGGCATGGGTAGCTAGGTGGGGAGCTTCAGTGGGTTTAATATTGTGGTCCACAGGGTGGTAAATGACTCAGTGTAGTATAGGTCTGTGTGCAGAATATCCTTGTTTTGCAGAATGATATCAGTTTGCAGCCATGGTGTGTTTCCATGCTGCACAATTTGTATTTCAGGGCCACTTTAACTGTTATGGCTCCCTTCTACAAAAGCCTGGGATTTGTACTTAGATGTCTCTAGCACACTTTCCTGAATTACAGCATCACAACTCCTCTGGCAGGGAATTCTCAGTACTTCACAAAACTACAGATTTCAAGAATCCCATATGGTGGAGCCATGATGTGTCATTGAACACTATACTTGTCATTAAAGTGCTGTAACTGTGTTGTGTGGGTACATTGTGGTTTTATAAATTCCCAGCTTTTCAGAGTTTTGAGAGAAGTAAGCATGGCACTGGGGAGCCTTGAGTCTTGTCTGAAAGGAGAATTGCTGCTCCTGGTGACTTCTAGAAGGGGCAGTTCTTTTTTCTTTCTTTTCCCCTGTAATAATTTTTGTGGTTCTGGGATCTGGAAGGAATCCAGTGCTGGAAAAAATGAGTGTGGGTAGGTGGAGGGCTGCATGCAACCCTTGAGCCTTGTGCTGCCCACCACTGTGGTAGATAAATGGGGAAACTCAAAGAAGAGGGGATGAAGTTCCATGCTTCCATGTTGGCAGATGTGAAGGCAACAGAAGAGATAGGGTATTTTGGAATTGCCAGGATTTCAAGCTTACCAACTGCTTCCATTCACAAAGTGTTTGTAAATTTGAGGATCTGCTGTATTTACTCCCGCTTCCCCTTTCAGCCTGACAGCATGTAGTAATCGTGCTTATTTTCACTGATGTTCTTTTTCGTCATTTTCACAGCTGAATGTAGCTAGAAAACAATTGAAAAAAATCCGTCCCTTCTAAGAGGCAATTCACCCCCCCCCCATCATTTCTGATCTATATTGTACTTGAAGTGTTAAAATTCTCAAGAGGCAGAGGTGGAAAAAAACTAAAGCAGTGGTGTGTGTGGGGGGGGGGGAAGGAGAGACAGAATGGGGAAGGTTTAACTAGCACTTACTTCAAACATTTCTTCTTGCTTATATTTAAAAAGAGGATAAAAAGAAAGCATGTTCCAATACTGGTTCAGGGCTTTATGAAAGTGAAATATTAATGACCTGGGAAAGCATAGACATCAGATAACTTTGTACAGAATCGTTTTGGAAAGATTCCATCCTTCCGACAAATCCTTGTGGTATATGAAATTGTATCTCTGTAGTACAAATGCAATTAAAAACTTCAGGGCTGCAGGATTTGTAATTATGGAGGAAGAATGATGTTGGCCAGTGAATGGGTCATGATAGCAAGTCTAATAATCTTTTCCATTGGAGAAATTCTGTGATTTCAATTGTCTTTAATATTCTTGGAGGATGTTGTAGGCCCAGGTTGCTGTGAAAACATTTCAAAATGATGTGCGTGGATTCTTGTCAAATGCCTTTCCAGAAAGTGCTTGGCTTAGTTTTATGTTGCAGCAGGACACTTTTTGCTAAGCTCAGGTTTGTCAGAGGAGTGGGGTGGAGTACTACTGGAAGCTTGAATCTGTCCTTCTGGTGTCTGTCAAAACTCAACTCCTTTTCCCATAAATCAATCCCAGCATTACATTTTTGCACATTTTGCACAACATTCTCTGAACTTTAGATTAATTCACTTTTTCTGCCATTTATGACAAAAAAAAAACCCCACACTTGTCACTTTACAGAACTTATTTTGGCTAAGATCCAACATCAAGGTAGTGTACCAGAAACCTCCAGATGAAGAGTTATGTACTAATCGTGCTACACAACCCTTGTGTTGAACACTAATATTGTACACAAACCCAAATGTAGAAACAAATGCACAGCCAAATGTGCATGTTCACCCCAAGCATATCACACGTGCAATTATGTTCTACAGTCTTGACCTGATTGTGGATGTTACACGTTGGACCAAAATGCTCAACCACTCCTGTAGGAAGACACCAGTGTAAGACACCAGTGTAGTGTAGTGGTTTATATTTTGGACTATGGCTCTGGAGATCAGGGTTTGAATCCCTGCTCAGCCATGGAAACATGGACAAGTCAAATTCTCTCAGCCTGAGAGGAAGACAAAGATAAACCCCCACTGAACAAATCTTGGCAAAAAAATCTCATAATAGCTTTGCCTTAGGGTAATCATAAGTTGGAAATGACTTGAAGGCACATGACAACCATAACGACACCTTGGGCAGATCACAATCTCTCCAATGGAGAAAGCTGGAGGCAATGGTAATCTTGCATTGCATAAATCATGCCAAGGAAAGGCTATGATATGGTTACCATAAATTGGAGTCAGTTTTAAGAACTGGTGTGGTGTAGTGATTTGAATGTTGGACTTTGACTCTGGGTGATCAGGTTTGAATTCCTGCTCAGCCATGGAAACCTGGTGGGTGACCTTGGACAAGTTTTTCTCTCTCTCTCTTTGCCTTAGTAGAAGACTATGGCAAACCTCCTCTTAATAAATCTAGCCAAGAAAAACCTATGGTAGCACTTCCATAAGTTGGAGTCACCCTTAAGGCACATAACAACAAAGACAAGATTCTGATGTTGCTTTGACTTACAAGTGCAACTTGTATATATGTCTGTACTTATGTAATGTTCTGCAAGTTAATTTAGACAACAGTGCCTGAAAATCTGTGCCAAACTTGTCTTTCTGATGCACTGTGTGATCATGCTGGCCATTTCTTGTACCACATAACCTCTGTATCTGCAGGTCCAGTACCCATGTTTTCCTTTACTCACATCTGAAAAAGTAAGTTCTCTCTAGTCCAGGGGTAGGCAACCTTTCCCCTTTAAGGGCCGAGGGACTTCAGCTCCCAGAATCCCAGGAGCTATTGGCCAACATGGGACTATTGGCCAACATGGCTGAGGCTCCTGGGAGCTGAAGTCCCTCGGCCCTTAAAGGGGAAAGGTTGCCTACCCCTGCTCTAGGCATTATCTTGATCAGGGGTAGGCAACCTTTCCCCTTTAAGGGCCGAGGGACTTCAGCTCCCAGAATCCCAAGAGCTATTGGCCAACATGGGACTATTGGCCAACATGGCTGAGACTTCTGGGAGCTGAAGTTCCTCGGCCCTTAAAGGGGGCAGGTTGCCTACCCCTGATCTTGATCCTCCAGTGGATTTTTGTGGTATGCTTCTGGAGCAAATTGACCATAGAGTTGCACTGGGAGACCTAGAAATGCCAAGAGAGGTAAGATGGTCTGGTGGTTCTCAATCTTTGTTCTTTCAGATGTGTTGAACTTCAATTCCCAGAAGGCCTAAGGCTAAGCTGTATGGTCAATGGTAAAGATTTCCTTGAGCTGAGGTTCAAAACATCTAGAGGGCTAGAGGCTGTGAACCACCACTTTGAGATATAGATTCAAGTCTCTCTTCACCTATGCACATGAGCTAGGTTTCTCAGTGGTAAGTCCTCTCATATGTAAAATAGGAACAATGCCCAGTTACACCGTAGAACTTTGTAGGTAAGATAAATATAATAGAGTAGGTTTGCAATGGTGATTTCAAGAAACTGGATTTGAATGCAGGCTTCTACATCCTCTGTCCTTTGAAGAGCCCTCTTAGATTTGTTTTGAACCAATGGTAAAAGGAGTTGGTGTATGAGAATGGAATGTTTTGACTACATTCATGGAGACCTAGGATTAGAAGGCTAGACGTTCTTTGTTTTCCTACTTTAGAAATCCATCTCCTCAGCCTATCTTGCATGTATTTATTATCTTTTTTCTTGTTATTGCAACTGCTTGCAATAACAGCTGCTGTTATTGTTCTTTTGTTTCTGCTTTACCAATGACAAAATATGAAGATTGAGCTTTTCTCCTCTCTCTCTCTCTCTCTTAGATAATTAAACCAGGGGTAGGCAACCTTTCCCCTTTAAGGGCCGAGGGACTTCAGCTCCCAGAATCCCAGGAGCTATTGGCCAACATGGGACTATTGGCTAACATGGCTGAGGCTTCTGGGAGCTGAAGTCCCTTGGCCCTTAAAGGGGAAAGGTTGCCTACCCCTGAATTAAACTGAGGGTGTGATGTCCAGCCTGGACTGTTTAAATTCTCTCCTGTATTTTCCTTCATTTTAGTTAGTCCTTAGTACAGGGGTAGACAACCTTTTTGAGCTTGGGGCCGGTCCCGCAAAGTCATGCCTGCCGCTGGGCCGAGGGGGGAGGAATGGCGGTGCACGCGTGCACCCCTTATGCGCTGCTGCTGCCGCTGCTGCCGCTGCTGTGCAACCGCCTCCGCACACGCTGCAGCTGCCATTTTAATTTTCAAAATGGAGGTTGCAATGCGTTTGCGCATGCGCAGTACTCCTGCGCATGCACAAATGAGTCACAGCCGCCATTTTGCCATTTTGATTTCCAAAATGGCGGTTGCAGCGCGCGTGGCCACACGGCGGCAAAAACGCACAGCAGCGGTGGCAACCTTCCACCTGGGCCGGTAAGTCCAGGGACCTGGGTCTTAACCGGCCCGCAGGCCGTAGGTTGCTGGTCCCTGCCTTAGTATGTTTGAGCATAGGAATGTTCCATTGTATTAGTTTGTGGGAGGAGCTGTAGGAATCCATTGCATTTTTCTAGTTTTTGATTTGCCCCTTCCCAGCAAGCTCTGCTTCAGTTTGGGATTTTTAGTTTTTTTCTTAGGCAGGCTTGGCTTTATCTGTTTGACGGCAAACAGGCACAGACAGACAGAAAGGGCATTTCTTAAACCATTTAGCCAATTTATAGTTACCACATTTAGCCAATTTATTTACCATTAGCCAATGTAGTTACCATTTAGTCAGAGTAGTTACCAAAAGCAGTTAATTAAAGTAAATATCAACAACAAAGAAGTCAAGAGCACCAGAAGCTGAAAGACCCTGCACCAGCTTCATTGAGTAGGAGATCAAATCAAGATCAAACCCAGAGAGATGACAACACTGAAGATTGCTGAAACCTAAACTGTAAAGTACCTTTTATTTTAAACCTGTTAGAGCTGGGGAGGAGAAACCCTTTTCTTTCGTTCTTCAAAATAATTTTCCCCCTTTTGGACTTTACATTCAGCATTGGAGCCTTTTTGGGTAAAAGAATTTGATCTCACCAGGGTACTGGCGTTGTGCACCCATATTTGCCACCACTTTTAGTTGGGTGTGTCTTCACAGAGGGTGTCAGGCAATACGGTAATCAAAGGCCAAGTTGCAAGGCCACCTGCAGGATTGTGTAGACCAGGGGTAGGCAACCTATGGCCCGGGGGGGGGGGGGGGG